CATCAGAGCAACGGCAGACAATCGTTTCGCGCCTTTTTTCAGAGCAGATGCCACAGCACTGGGAACATGGAGCCCACTCAGATCACCGCGGCAATTATGAGTACTATAAACACTGTGCGTGTTATCCAGCAGGATATGCAGAACCATAACCTGCAAGAAAAGCGAAACCAGGCGAGGAGGAGGTGACTGCAGTGTGATGACGAGAGTGATGAGGACATGGATATAGACCTCTCACAAAGTATGGGCCACTGCATTGTGCACATCATGGTGTCAATTGGGCAGGTTCATGGCATGGAACGCTGATTCTGGGCCCGGGAAACAAGCACAGAGTGGTGGGACCGCATAGTGCTGCAGGTCTGGGACAATTCCCAGTGGCTGCGAAACTTTTGCATGTGTAAGGGCACTTTCATGGAACTTTGTGACTTGCTTTCCCCTGACCTGAAACGCAAGAAGACCAAGATGAGAGCAGCCCTCACAGTTGAGAAGCGAGTGGCGATAGCCCTGTGGAAGCTTGCAATGCCAGACAGCTACAGGTCAGTCGGGACTCAATTTGGAGTGGGCAAATCTATTGTGAGGGCTGCTGTGATGCAAGTAGCCAACGCCATCACTGAGGTGCTGATATCAAGGGTAGTGATTCTGGAAAATGTGCAGGTCATAGTGGATGGCTTTGCTGCAATGGAATTCCCTGACTGTGGTGGGGCCATAGACGGAATCCATATCACTATCTTGGCACTGCAGCACTAACGCAGCAAGTACATAAACCAGAAGGGGTACTTTTCAATAGTGCTGCAAGCACAGGTGGATCACAAGGGACGTTTCAAGAACATCAGTGTGGGATGGCCGGGAAAGATACATGACGCTCGCATCTTCAAGAACTGGTCTGTTTCAAAAGCTGCAGGAAGGGACTTTATTCCCAGACCAGAAAATAACCATTGGGGATGTTGAAATGCCTATAGTTATCCTTGGGGACCCAGCCTACCCCTTAATGCCATGGCTCATGAAGCCATACACAGGCACCCTGGACAGTAGTCAGGAGCTGATCAACTATAGGCTGAGCAAGTGCAGAATGGTGGTAGAATGTGCATTTGGGCATTTAAAAGTGCACTGGCGCAGTTTACTGACTCGGTTAGACCTCAGCGAAACCAATATTCCCACTCTTATTACTGCTTGATGTGTGCTACACAATATCTGTTAGAGTAAGGGGGAAGATGTTTATGGAGGGTGGGAGGCTGAGGCAAATCGCTTGGCCGATGATTACGCGCAGCCAGACACCAGAGCGGTTAGAAGAGTACAGGAGGCCGTGGTGCACATCAGAGAAACTTTGAAAACCAGTTTCAGAAATGGCCAGGCTACGGTGTGAAAGTTCTGTTGGTTTCTCCTTGATGTAACCCCCTCCTCCCCCGGGTTCACTCTACCTTCCTGTAAGCTAAGCACCCTCTCCTCATCCCTTCGATTACAACTTGCAGAGGCAATAAAGCCATTGTTGCTTCACATTCACGCATTCTTTCTTTATCCCCCTATTTGTATGATGAATAACTTCCCAAAGTAGCCCAGGAGGGGTGGTAGAGGAGGGAAGGACAAGGTTACACAGCACTTTAAAAGTTTAAAACTTTAAAAAACTTATTGAATGCCAGCCTTCTGTTGCTTGTGCAATCCTCTGGGGTGGAGTGGCTGGGTGGCCGAAGGCCCCCCCACCACTTTCTTGGGCGTCTGGGTGAGGAGGCTATGGAACTTGGGGAGGAGGGCAGTTGGTTACACAGGGGCTGTAGCGGCGGTCTGTTCTTTTGCTGCCTTTCCTGCAGCTCAACCATACGCTGGAGCATATGAGTTTGATCCTCCAGCAGCCTGAGCATTGACTCCTGCCTTCTTTCAGCAAGCTGATGCCACCTACCATCTTCAGCCCGCCATCACTCACAGAGGGCTGGGCAGCAGAATTCGGCTTGCAGGCAGCCATGGTAAGCCACAGTCTTTTGGCTTCTTTAACCTTCATAAGAAGTGGAAATGGCTTCAAACAGCAGTGCCCTCATTTTCCATACGAAGTAGCCGTTGGGTTGCCCATTGAAAATGGGTTGGCAATTTAAAAAGAGAGGCTGCAGTTTCTGGGTTCACGTGCAGCAGAAACCCAACTAATCCCCCCCCACACACACACACACGCCCTAATTCTCTGGGATGATGGCTTCACCCCTCCCCCCCACCACGTGGCTAGCAGTGGGGAAGATTTCTGTGCAGCCACAGGCAAACAGCCCAACAGGAACAGACCACCTCTGAATGTCCACTTACTAAAACCACCCTATTTCAACCAGGTGACCATGAATGATATCACTCTCCTGAGGGTAACACAGAGAGATGAAGAACGGATGTTGTTTGAACGCCAGCAAACACCAGGACCATACGCTGCAATGCTTTGTTCTGCAATGATTCCCTACTACATGCTACTGGCCTGGCGTGGTAAAGCATCCTACCATGGAAGACGGAATAAGGCTGCCCTCCCCAGAAACCTTTTGCAAAGGCTTTGGGAGTACATCCAGAAGAGCTTTATGGAGATGTCCCTGGAAGATTTCCGTTCCATCCCCAGACACGTTAACAGACTTTTCCAGTAGCTGTACTGGCTGCAAATGCCAGGCCAAATTAATCATTCAACACGCTCACTTTTAAACCATGCATAATATTTACAAAGGTACACTCACCAGAGGTCCCTTCTCCGCCTTCAGGGTCAGGGAGCCCACCTTGGGTGGGTTCGGGGGGTACTGGGTCCAAGTCCAGGGTGATAAACAGATCCTGGCTGTTGGGGAAACCGGTTTCTCCGCTTCCTTGCTGTGAGCTATCTACAACCTCCTCCTCCTCCTCCTCCCCAAAACCGGCTTCCGTGTTGCCTGCCACTCCTTGGACGGAGTCAAAGCACAGGGGTGGGGTAGTGGTGGCTGCATCCCCTAGAATGGCATTCAGCTCATCATAGAAGTGACATGTCTGGGGCTCTGAAGCGGAGCGCCCGTTTGCTTCTCTGATTTTTTGGTAGGCTTGCCTGAGCTCCTTTATTTTCACGTGGCACTGCTGCAGATCCCTGTTATAGCCTCTGTCCTTCATGCCATTGGAGATTTTTTCAAATATTTTGGCATTTCGTCTTTTCAAAAGGAGTTCTGCGAGCACAGATTCGTCTCCCCTACAGCGATCAGATCCCATACCTCTTGTTCAGTCCATGCTGGAGCTCTTCGGCGATTTTGGGAGTGCATGGTCTTCTGTGATGATGAGCGCTGCATGGTGACCTGTGCAGGTGAGCTCGTCTCGCTAGCCACACAGGAAATGAAATTCAAAAGTTCGCAGGCCTTTTCCTGTATACCTGGCCAGTGCATCCGAGTTGAGAGCGCTGTCCAGAGCGGTCACAACAGAGTACTCTGGGATAGTTCCCGGAGGCCAATACCGTCGGATTACATCCACAGTACCCCAAATTCGACCTGGCAAGGCCGATTTCAGCGCTAATCCCCTCATCGGGGGTGGAGTAAGGAAATCGATTTTAAGAGCCCTTTAAGTCGAAAAAAAGGGCTTCGTCGTGTGGACGGATGCAGGGTTAAATTGAGAACGCTGCTAAATTCGACCTAAACTCATAGTGTAGACCAGGCCTCAGACTAGAAACATCTAGTAGTCACTTCTGTATGGGGTCAAGTTTGTAGTCAAATTCACATTCAGTGTCTCACTCACTAGCATGAAGGGAATACTTGTTTAAAAGCAGTTTTCAACAGAATTCAGCGAAAATTTTAATATTGATCTTAGATTTCAAATAACCTAAATATATAAAATTTAGCAAGGAGTCCCATTAAGTCAGTCTCTCTAGCCAACTCTTATTAAATAAGGCTATTCCCAGTCCTACAACATTAAAATTCACTGTCACTGTGCTGATATTTTGATTTATTCTCCCTTTAAAATACACACAGCTACTCCTGATGCTAATGGAAGTTTGCATATTTGCTAAGTGAAGAACAGATCACTTATTATGATAAGAGTATGCTTTTGTTTCTGCAGCAGGAATGGTAAAAACATATCCTTTTTCTCATAGAGAAGCACACAGCACACTGCCCTATGTGAAGTTTCTGCAGAGCATTAAATGATAGTGTCCAAATGTATTTGGCAAGTCCTTCAAATGCAATCCCTAAGTAGCTATGTGTACCAGGAAATAGCTGTAAAATATTCCTAACTCACATCCAACAACTTCTAGATTACAGGAGGAAACAACATTCAATTAGCAATGCTGATAATTCTTCCAACATTGGGGCAATATTAAGAGTTGTCCTCACAAAGAACCTGAAAAAAAGATCAACAAAAGCCAAGGAGTTCATCTAAGTGTACATTAACTGACCACATTTGATACTTGGTCACTTTACCAAGAGAATGAAGTAGAAATTATTCTGATTTATTTCCAATACTTTCTTTTATACAGATTAAACACAATTAAAAAAAAAATCCTACCCAGCCAGAACTTCTTAAGGGACACAGTACCAAAACACTAGAATTATCTACTAGCCAAAGAAACGATAAAAGAGGAAAGGGGCGAATATAAACGATTTCTCGCTTTCTACCACAGTGAAAGAGTTGCCTGCAGTCAGGGCTGCGCAGGGGGGTGGAAAGGACACCCATCCCGGGCCCTCCACATCCTACAGGCGGGGGTAGGAAGGGAAGTGCGGGAGAGTTTTCCTTCCCTGGTTTCCTAGTCTCTCCTGCTGCTGCCCCATTGCGAGGCGGGGTTAGTATGATCATCGCAGGCCAGAAGGAAACAAACAAGCCCCTGCTGTTAGGGTCCTGACTCCCCGTCCCATGGGGTACAGGCCAGACCAGGGGGCCGGCAGGCAGGCGGGCTCGCTGCCGATCAGAGGAGCTTTTATTTGTGTGCTTTGAATGCAGACACCCCTACCCCATCGCAGCTGCAGTGGGGGGGCCGCGGCGAGGGCATTCAACCCTCCCTCCGCTCCGACTCCCGGTCCGCTGCACAGGCCCCTTCCCGCACCAACCTGAGCCATAATGGAGCCGCCGCCGGTGTCCGGGGATCGCCCGCCCCCTCCTCGCCCCACTGTGCTCTCTTCCAGCGGAGTCCAGGCCTCGGCAGCACCGGGATGGCGTAGCGCATGCATCCGACGCCAGAGCCTACTGCTGCCGGTGCGGCCCGTGTCGCCGGCGCCCCGTTCCTCTGGGAGGGCGGGGGCTTGCTGGCCGCGGGCGCCGCCGGGCACACGCCGCTCCTGCTCCTAGGAGCCGCGCGGCGGCCGGAGCTCGGGAGGGCTGCTGAGGGAGCAGAGGCCGGCGGCGGTGACTGCCCAGCTATTGCCGCCACATCCTCGGTTCCGCGTGCTGGGTCTCGCCGCGGCCGCCTCAGGCTCGGCGGCGGCGCCAGACCCTCGCGCTGCTCCCGGTTCCTAGTCTCTGCTCCGAGCCGGGCTCGTGCTCCCCCTGCTGCACCTCCGAGCCGGGCTCCTGCTGCTTGCGAGGGAGGGTCGGGCTGAAGCCTGCCCTGTGCTAGCGTTGCTGCGGGCGGGTGCAGTTGTCCCGGCCAGAGAACAGGGGAATGACCGCGGCAGCGGGGATCGGCTGCCACCCAGACGCCTCTGTCAGCCCCAGGGAGGCTGGACTAGCCTTCCGCTGCCACTGCTGGCCGGGGCAAAGGGGAGGGTGAGCCGATAACAAGGGGACATTACTCACCCCTAATTCTCGCTCTGAGGCAACGCTCTGGGGGGACACAGCGAAGTCTCCTCGCCAAAGCTTGGGACTGTCTGACAGCAGCGGGCGGTGTAGTATAAATCAGGCCCCCTACTGGCCGCTCATGGCCGCCCCTGTCACTCACAAACGCTGCCCTCCGAACATGCCACTCCGTTCATTGGCGGAAGACACCAGACTCGCACAAGGAATAGCCGGTTTAAAATAATCAACATAAGATCTGCCTTAGAGGCCGTTCACCCACCAAGGTCCAAGAGAAAAATACCTCAAAAGAGAAATTCCAATTCTGAAGGGGGCTGGGGGTGAGCCAGAATCCTATAAGGTAGTAGTTTCATAGAAGCAGAATTAAAGATAATTAATTAGTCTTCTTGTGCATCCGATGAAGTGAGCTGTAGCTCATGAAAGCTTATGCTCAAATAAATTGGTTAGTCTCTAAGGTGCCACAAGGACTCCTTTTCTTTTTGTGAATACAGACTAACATGGCTGTTACTCTGAAACTAGTCTTCTCTAATGACACTCACCAGGCAGCATTCTCACTCCTGGAAAGACTTAACAAAGGTACTGAGAGAAAATGAGAGCACATCTGCAAAGAGAAGCAATAACAACAACAACAACGCTACTGGAAAAGCAAGGAGGATAAGATGCCTCTGAAATTCACTCCATTCAGACAGGTAACCAACCCCCAAAGGTTGCCTAGTGAAAATAAGATATTCCCTCCCAGGGTCCAGAAAACAAAATCACTCAAACTAACCGTTCCTCCTACCTCCATTCCCCAATTTATTTCATGATGAACAGCCTGGCCTCCCCTGCCTTGGAAACCAGTTCTGTAGAAGCAAACTTGGATTTCTGTCTTAAGTCCAAATCCAACATGCAGCCGCTTTGTCGATGTTTGTGTCGGAAATGTTTATAAGATAGGCATGGGTGGCAGACCTGCCTTTAGTCTTATAAACCTTGTAGCCTTCTAGCTTCATGCCAACCAAGTCATCGCAATGTTAAATATGATCAGATGTCTATTTAGATATGGTTGTTTTGGTAATAGCATTTTCCAGTAAACTGTTGTCAAAAGAAATAAAAAGAGGAGTTTGGAGCTATAGTCTGCGCCAAATAGAAACCCAAGAACTTCTTAGCATCAATCATATGGAGGAAGGCCTCACTGGGATTGGCATGGAAAGAACGATAGCAGGATTATAGACTGATATTGGTGGCACTCTAAAAACACATTTGGAGAGGAATCTCCAATGAGTCCATAGCACCAGTTTATTCTTGTAAAATCTGCACAGAGATAGATCAGACACTACATCCAGATGTTTACTCACTCTGCAGGCTGAAGTCACAGTCACCTGCAAGATGAACTTCCTTGTAAGAAATTTAAGTTCACAGGAAGTAAGTGACTCAAGAGAAGCTTACATCTGCTTTATCAGGACAACATGACTATACCAGGGGCTTGTTATAATGGAGCTTTCCAAAGTGTCAACACTGACATTCAAACCTGACAATGAGGTTACAATGATACTGATTTACCTTTGACTATTTCATGACAGGTCAAAATAGCTGCCAAATGTGCCTAGATGGTAAGACTAAATTACACTCAGACATATGAGAAAGGTACTGAAACAGTTTTCATGCAGGGCAAATAAAAGGGTGTACTTGATCTTGATTACACCACACAATAAATCTTTTCCACTTGAGATGTAGGTCTTTCTGGTAGATGATATCTGAGCATGAGATACCAAAAGTACACAAGCAGCCTGCCCAGAGAAATCATGCATATGGATGCTAGGAACCAAAGCATTGCGAGCGGGCTCCTGTGTTGCAGTGTAGAAAAGGGTCCTGATTCGGAGCAATTATCCAAGGCCAAACTGACACCATGGTAGCATTAGATTTGGATATTTGCAACAGAATTAAGAAACATACCTATCTGGACCATTATATCATCTTTGTCTCTCCTAAGCTTTTCTAGAACTTTTGCTGCCAGATGAACTAGTGGATAAATGTACAGGAAACTATTTCTCCATCCACTGGTGAAAGATTTTTTTCTAACACAATCTTTTTTTCAAGCTATAAGCAACAGACTGATAGCTTCTTCAGATGAGGGCAGAGAGCAATTGTCTAGGGCAGAGATCCATCTCCCACCAGAGAGATCTAATTTGCCATCCCCTGGTCCAGACACTACTTGTCAGGATCTGTCACAGATCGAGTCAATCTGTGATCATGTTCTTCCTTTCTAGGTAAGTGGCAATGAGTTTAGGACAGAGCCCACTGCCATTCTTGCTGTGCTTCCCAGTACAGAAGGTGTACAATCCAGTGTGTCATTCATTGATTGCTTATGTGAAGTATGGTGGCCTGACAGTCCCTTTGAACCAAGAACACCTTTTGGGATACCAGCTTTTTGAAGGTCCTTATTGTGTACGGAAAACTGCCCTCACCTCCAGGGCATTTCTGTGGAACTGCTATACCTGGAGAGATTAAGTTTCCTGGTTTTAGAGTCCCTCTGAATGGACTCACTTAAGGTTGGATGCATTCATAGACATGACAATTGAGACATGAGGTGTTTGGAACTTCATTCCCAGTTACATATTTGTCCCATCAACCACTAGGCCAGAGAGGCCTAGGAGACATTCATTACTTGGTTGTAATGCGAGAGTCCCTTTGATGCCTGCTTCTGCCGGGATCTCAGGTTACACTGAGGTGTGCCATGGGAACTATGACTATAGGTGCAGAAATTAAACCCAACAAACATAATACCGTCAGAGCTGACAGAACCCAGGTTGGCTCTTGCTTGTCCTTTCTGTTAGGCTAGTAATATCTAATGTACTGAGAAGGAAGTCTTTGAGTTGAGTCATATCTAGCAGAACTTCTATGCATTTCAGTTTAGGGTTTAAACTGGGCCAGGTCAGCAATTTGCTGTGGGTTTTTTTTGTTTTTTTGTTTTGCAGCAGCTATTTTGTTCTTTGTAATCTCATATTTCATTTAAAAATTAGTCTCTAGGCTTTATAGCTTTTAGAAAAAACAAAAATAGTCTGACCTGTAGAACCAGAAGGCCAGAGGGAAGGAACAGAGCCCTTGGATGCATCTGAACTCAATCAAGAGGGAGTAAATTCCACAATCCAAAAAAGTATCCAGAATTCCAGCAAGCCAGTCCCACCCCTGCAAGAAGAAGAATCTGGTCTACTCTGGTGATAGGCATGAGGCATCTGAGACCAGGTTCATAGAATATTAGGGTTGGAAGAGACCTCAGGAGGTCATCTAGTTCAATCCCCTGCTCAAAGCAGGACTAAATCATCCCAGTCAGGGCTTTGTCAAGCCGGGCCTTAAAAACCTTTAAGGATGGAGATTCCACCACCTCCCTAGGTAACCCATTTGAGTGCTTCACCACCCTCCTAGTGAAACAGTGTTTCCTAATATTCAACCTAGACCTCCCCACTGCAACTTCAGACCATTGCTCCTTGTTCGGTCATCTGCCACCACTGAGAACAGCTGAGCTCCATCCTCTTTGAAACCCTCCTTCAGGTAGTTGAAGGCTGTTATCAAATCTCCCCTCACTCTTCTCTTCTGCAGACTAAATAACCCCAGTTCCCTCAGCCTCTCCTGGTAAGTCATGTGTCCCAGTCCCCTGATCATTTTTGTTGCCCTCCGCTGGACTCTCTCCAATTTGTCCACATCCCTTCTGTAGTGAGGGCACCAAAACTGGACACAATACTCCAGGGGTGGCCTCACCAGTGCCAAGCAGAGGGGAATAATTACTTTCCTTGATCTGCTGGCAATGCTCCTACTAATACAGCCCAATATGCCGTCGGCCTTCTTGCAACAAGGGCACACACTTCCGACTCGTATCCAGCTTCTCATCCACTGTAATCCCCAGGTTCTTTTCTGCAGAACTGCTGCTTAGCTAGTAAGTCCCCAGCTTGTAGTGGTGCATGGGATTCTTCCTTCCTAAGTGCAGGACTCTGCACTTGTCCTTGTTGAACCTCATCAGATTTCTTTTGGCCCAATCCTCCAATTTGTCTACGTTGCTTCTTCCCCAGTTCAAATTGCTGCTGCATGCCTCTCTGCAGGCTCAGGCAGACAATTGCTTCAGTTACATTCAGTTCATGTCTTCAAGCTTTTCTTTGCAACTATGAGGGCTAGAATTGTGTTCCTAAAATGAAATCTGAGATTGCTGTTATTTGTACTAAAGCTAGGCCATTTGTACCTAACGCTAGTTTAAGCTTCAGACATTTCTCTTGGGAAAGAAAACCAGTCAGGGTTGGAGCCATGATCTGGCTAACCTTTTATCTAATGTAATCCCTGTGCCACTGTAATGCAATTGTCCAGGGTACATTTCTTAAAAATGTGGTCAGTGGTCCTTCTGGCCATTTACACCAAGCAGCTGTCATAGACAGGATGAGTTTTGGAGAAGGATATAAACTAACTGCCATCAAGACTGGGAGAGATGTGACAGATATAGGTCCAAAATAGGATGCAAGAGCACATTACACCTTCTGCAGAAGGGTTCCTTGTCAGATTGCAGTCCTTGTAGATTTCTGAACAGGTGTTAACTCAGAATCAGTGTTTGGACAGCTTCCATAACAAGGGGGGAATGCAAGTAAGATCCAGGCACATACTTGCAATCAGAAATTTATTTAATCTTATCTAAGCCCAACAGCAATTCTCATCAGCCTGATCTTCTCCATACTCCTCTTCAAGAGTCTGGAATTGTCTAGGCAAAAAGAGATCCGTAACATCAGAAGTGAGAGTCAAGGGAGACAAAGAATTTAATAAAGAATGTGTAATCAGCTGTCAAAAGCAACAGAGAGGTCAAGGAGGATGAGGATGAAATACAAGCCCTAATATTTAATCAGAAGAAGTCAGAGACCTTGGAGTAAACAGTTTCAGTTAAGAGAACTGATATTATTTTGATCACAAGTATGCAGTATTTCAAAAGACAAAAAATACACAAGTCAAATGAGTCAGGTACAA